TTGAGTTTACTTATCAAATCTTTCAAACTTTATCTAAAACTCTCAACATCCTGTGGTGCTTCCATATCTTCCATTGCCCCCAGTTCTCAGGCAAGGTCCAACAAACCAGTGCTCTCTCAAAAACATTCCTATCAAACCTTCACAAGAGGTTTGTTTCTTCTGTTACTAAGAGCCCTGCCAAAGAAATCTTTCCTCATTGCCGCCTTCAAGCTCATGTAAGGATGGCTGATCCTGCATCCTGGCCCCATGTTTCAGCTGTGATCACTCCCTGATCACCTTCTTACCCCTTTGTTTTGCTATCATTGTGCTCTCCTTTGGAACTTCATCCACAACTCTTTGCTCTAGCCCTGTCCTGACCATTTTCCTCTTCGATCAACATCTGGATCTGTATCCTCCTTTCCATTCCTGTTCACAGTCTTCCTCCTTTTTCTCCACAATGGACAGATCTCTTTAGGATCATTCTTACTACTCCTATCACCACTAACACCTAACCACTCAGGCTTGTCCCATGAGCTCTCATAACTTAAATTAACCCTTTAATTTTAATCTACATTCTGTTGATTGGCTCGTTGCCTCAGTTCTCCATGCTGTTCATGTAGCTTTCTCTGTGCCTGCCTGGGAACTCCTCCTTCTTCATCCCTGTCCTGAAGTCCTGCCTATACCTCCTGCCTAGCTATTGGCTGTTTGTGTTTTTTTATTACACTAATCACAACGATACATTTCACACAATATACAAATATCCCACAATACAAAATAGAGATTACTGTTTATATTTGCCTAGAGACTTATGAAGGCTGCCTTTTTTTTCTTTTACTTTGTCGGGGGGAGGTCCTGTAGTAGACATGATGCATATGCAGGAAGGGGTTTGGGAGCCACGGGTAAGCTTTACTTTATCATAGCTGTTCATTCAGCATGATAAAAATACAAAGGGTATTTGGCCCACTTTCTCAGCTTTTGGGTATAAACAAGGTAGAATAAATCGTTCAACACTCCTCAAAATTCTGTCCTCCCTAACATCACGTGACCTTTCCTACTACACTCATATCTCTTGTTTCAGACCTTAACTTCTGCATATCAGCTAGTGAACAATACTCTGGCTACTTTGGAGAATGCCGACTGCATGTCTCTCCTGGGTTAAACTCACAACTACCATTTGAAACCTCACCCATTTATCTACTAGACTCTCACTTCACTGCTCATTAACTCCTATGAGCCCCAAACCGCTATCACCCCTTATTTCTCCACTGTTTCTCTTCAATACCACAGGCTGCTTTATCTCCTCAAGCACATACTTTATGGTCACACCAGGTTCTCAGACTAATAATACCTTGACTGTGAACCCTAACACCCAGCGCTTATGTTCCAATATTCACAACACCTTGGTCCTCTGAGGCACTAAAGTTTACCACTGCCTATGAACTGGGTGGTCTGGGACTTAGGCGTGCTGTTCTTTTTCTCTAAAATTAGGAGTGATACCCAGGAAGAACTGCTAGATGGATCTCTTCAAAGGGCTTATTGTGGCAAGGCCCAACAAACAAGTGGTTCAGATCGTATCTCTTCCTGTAGCCCTGGGAATTACTGCTAGTGTTGCCACTAAAACAGCAGAACTGACTACATCCTTAACTATATATTACCAGTTTTCTTCTCAGTTTATCCAGGACCTCAAATGGGTGGCTCAGAATACCCTCACCATCCAGGGCCAAATAAACTCACTGGCTTCATGATTTTACAAATTCAGTGAGGATTCGCTTTGCTGACAACAGAGAGGGATGGTCTCTGCCACTTCCTCGGGGAGGAATGTTGTTTTTGTGTAAACCAGTTGGATATAGTAAAAAGATAAGCCCTGGCAACTCCAGACAGATCTCCAAAAGATGTAAGGAACAGGGCAATGCTTCTGGCTATTGGATCACTGACGGTCCAATATAGAATTGGATGTTGCCTTACTTCACTTGATTTTAACTAAAAGGCTGAGAAGTGGGTGCTACCTTTGTTACCCCCAGCCTACTTTTCTTACTCCTACTATAGCACCTTGCCTAATAAACGTCATATCTAAGTTTCTTCAACAACAGATTAAAATATTGTCAGCCACAGGCTGCTGTGACTTCAACTACGCCCTGACTGTGAACATCAAGTTTACCGAAGGATTTCAATGCCCCCAATCAACAGTCACTTCTATACTGATAATGTCACTCCCTTTCTCAACTTTGTGTTGTTGTTAATAGTAAGCAAGCACTGGGAATGCAGGGTAAAAATTCCTAGACCACTTCTGGCTTTAAAAACCTAACAAAACCCACCAATCCCTGAGATTAAAATCCCACTATTTCCTGGGCTTGATTTGAAATTCCAGTCATCCCTATTCTAGAAATCCCCACTTTGGAAAACTCTGACCCCTAATGAACTCTATATAAACCTTGCCTCCTGGTCAGTTTCTGATGCTTCTCCCTGAGCAGAGGAGGCAGCCTCTTTCTTGTGTCTCTTTCAATAAATCTCTTGTGTGAGGTTTGTTGTGGAGTCTGACTTTGCAGCTTCCTTTGCCCTTGATTGCCAGGATACCTTTCCCCTCATACCTGCAACATCTCCATTGGGGAAGTTTTTCTCCTCAGATCTGTAACACTTCCACTGCGCAATCCTCTGCCCTTAGTATTGTAACACAAAAATCTCAGAAATACATGGCCTCTACCAGACCAACATCACCTATTAAAAAAATATTTCTAGGAAAATGTATGGATAATCATATTAATCAAAAATAATATAAACTCAAAAAGATAAGTGCTATATTATCTTGCATATGTGGAATCTAGATTTAAGTGTGTGTGTGTGTGTGTGTGTGTGTGTGTGTGTGTGTGTGTGCGTGCAGGCCTCAAAAGTAGAAATGCAAAATAAAAATATTTTTTCTGATATTTTTCTACTTAGAAATAAATTAAGGTACTGGATCAGCTCACAGCAATTCTTCATTTGAGCAGCGTCCTGACCCATGTGTCACAGATAAGGAAAACTTACCGAATGTTGAGGGAATGAAGAATGACAGACACAAAAAATCTGGGATCGGGCAGACTATATGCTCTGATGCCACCACATCTACAGCAACAAAACCTCAGTGTTTGTATTGTACACCTCACAGGCAAAGTGCTGATCTAGTCCCTGTAGGAGGTCTTTGTGCGTTCAAATCTCTGGCTGTAAACATGGAGATGAGGGAGCTGCAGTTGGCTATTTTTTGGACACACTGATCAATTGTCTGTAAACAGTCGTAATTGACCAGAGACGAAGGCTTTGCCAATTTTGAGCCATATGGGAAAAAGCTTTGCCAATTTCCTGTGGGTCCAAGGCCTTAATTCTTTTTAAGTCTGTACCTTTATCAACAATCCACCTTCACTCAGGACTGCACTGACTTGAGGCTTCATTCAGTCCTAACAGAACAGAAAATAGTAAACATCCTTATTAGAATTTCAAGTCATCACAAGCCTGGGTTTTTTCTGTGCATGAATGCATATCCATTCATAAGAACACATTTATATCTGTGAATCAGGATAGTGAGCTACGGAGTAAAATGTATATATCATGATCAACAGGAAATGCTGAGGAGAAGATTGTTCCAGTTTCAAAAATGTGTAATTTAGTAATAAGAATAAAATTGCTTTAATCAAGTGAATATTATGATTTTAGAAAGTGTCATTAAAGATGAAATATCATGTATTTTATGCATGCTGATTTATATAAATGAAAGGAAACATTTGTGCCTGATCATGGAATTAGAGAAAATAGAGTTTCTCTTTTGTGAGTTCCTAAGTTGTCACAATGATAAAAGCCCTTGTAGGGAATGCAGGATAGCACAAGGCACACTGACATCCATCAGAATAATGCTCCATTCAGGCTCAACCGGCAATCAAAATAATTGTCAATTGTTAGGATGATTGGGAAAAAAACTTAATTGATATAAAATAATGGATGTTATATTCTCAATGTGCACTTATCAGCCAGTTTGAGCACTTGTAATATGCTTACAGGGATATAGAATTTACCCCAATTATGTCAGAAATTTCCCCAGGGGCCACACAAGGGAGAAAAAGACATCAGAACACATTCTTATGGCCCCCAGCTTAGATAAGCATTGGGTCTTTAGAGAGCTGTGTCTGGCATGCCAAAATGAAACCTCACTTTAATTAATAGCAAGGAACTTTCACATGACCCTAGAACAACACATATTGTGGGGTTTAACCTTATTCATGAGGAAGCTGGAGCGCTAGCTCCAGGCTCACTCTCCTGCTGCTACGACTTACACAAAAGATTCGGTTTTTCAAAGGAGGTGTTTTGTTTGAGACAGAAATTAAAAACTCAAAATCTCAAGGTCAGTCAACCTGCTGCTATTAGACTTATGTGTAGCTAAATCATCTTTTGTGGATTTGGGGCAATCATGAGCATCAATAAAGCATAGGTAATTTGCATCAGGAAGACAAATAGGATCTGGCCAAATAAAGCCAGTATGACTATGACCTTTAGAACAAAGGCAATCTAGTTGCCTTTCTGAAAAACCCTCTAATTCATATGAATTAAATACAGTCTGGAGTAGATCATTAACTGTGCTGTGATTTCTCACGTCAGCTGCCTGCCTTCTAATCACGGAGCCCATTACGCATTTTGTGGAATAATATTTAAAGGTAAAACTGCGTAAAAAAATCAGGGTGTACAGAAAATAGACATTTGGAACTCACCACTGTTTCTGCTCAATGTTTTAGACAAGCCTCAGCGACTGGTGGAAGGTTTTGATGTGATCTTTTTGGGGATGGTACCTGGTAGTAGAGTTTTCTCTGGTGATGCTAAATGGTCTGTTTGGTGGCCTTGACTTTCCTGGCTTCAGAGATGAGCACTGGTTCAGAAAGATGCATCTTTAGATAGAACGTATCAGAAAGCCATTGACACATGAAAGTACCAGACCTGAGCAGTGCTCTCTACAGGGTGCCTACTGGAGATAACAGAATACACTCTTGTTTCTTGTGCCCTAGTTGGATGTATTGGACAGACTGGGAGGAAGACAAAATAGACGACAGCGTGGGAAGGATTGAGAAGGCTTGGATGGATGGCTTCAATCGGCAGATTTTTGTGACTTCAAAGATGCTGTGGCCAAATGGCTTATCGCTGGACTTTCACACCAGTACATTATATTGGTGTGATGCCTACTATGATCATATTGAAAAAGTATTTTTGAATGGAACTCACCGAAAGGTAAAAGACAAGAGCTGATTTTTTTTTTTTAACCTGCAGTCAGGCTTCTTCTTCCACAGAGCCTTGTTGTGTTGTGTTAAAAATACTTTCAAGTTTATTTTTATCCCTCTGAGGTGGCTGCCAATAGTCTCCATGGGGTGGCTGAAGGAAGTGAGCATTAAGCTGTGCAGCTGGCACTGGCCTCTGGGAGGCCAGACCCAGCTCACTGCGGTATGCCAGGATTTGTGGGATTTTTAAAAGAAGCCCTCCTGGTAGCAGAGCTGTTTTTACAAAGCAGCCTTTCTACATTATGGATGGATTTTGTGTGACCAAACAACCCCTCTATTTGAATATGATCAATATTTACCGCTGAAATTTATACAAAGTAATTAGGCTGCATTCATCTGAGTAAAGAACTCTGTGATGCTGAACCTGAGATGCGCCTACGCATGGGCTGAATTCCAAGGCGACTGGTGCAAATAAATGTGAACTTGCTCTAGTTTACTTTGCTAAGATGGTTGCGAAAATGCCCTGGCACTGTAGGGCGCTGCTGGAAATTGTGTAGTTGAGGGGAAGACAGAACCCTAGTTGACAAAATCATCACCTTGCTGCTTAATCTTCCATCGTTAACAACCTAGCGCCTCATGGAATGACTTCAACTTTGAGGTAAAAGGTACAGAAAGAGTAAGTTAGACATTTCCAAAATGTGTCCTTTGAGGAATCCTGGACACATTCAGGATTCAGATCTAGAATGGTGGGTTGATACTACTTGTTAAGAATTCTTTTAGAAAAATAAATAATACTGTAATCAGTTCAGTTGTAGGGTATCTCAAATGATGCTCAACTATTTCTCCAGATAAATAAATTTGATTAGCCTGTACAATGATGTCATATAATTCACATCTACTAACTAAATATCTATGCTTTCTCTGAAGATGCTAGCATATATTATATATCGGCATAATATGTTACAATATATATAACCATATATGCTATATATAGTGTGTTATATAAGATATTAGTGTTTGTGCTATACATACACATTATACACACATATATACAATCTCTTTATGTTTCATACATACTAATATCATCAAATATATGCTATATACATAATGTGTATAGTTTCATGGTCATCTGCTGAAATAACCAGGCTAGCTGAGGATAAAAATAAATATTTTATTTATTATAAGGGGAAAATTCCCAAAACAGGAAATGAAAAATCCAAGCACAGCAATGTCCCGCAGGGAAAAGCACAGAGAGAACAAACATATGTTTTACCCTGGGTCCCAGCAAAACCATGCCTTAACTAAGACCCACCTCTTAAGATGATTGGCTAACAAGGCTCCCCATCAGTCATCATGTTTTAGGCTCTGATATATCTTATTCTTTTAGTATCATAATTTAAATGGAGGATTCAATTAAAATGGGCACAATAGCCAGGCAGTTGTGCCACACACCTTTAATCCCAGCACTCAGGAGGCAGAGACTGGCAGATCTCTTTGAGTTTGAGACTAACCTGATCTAAAACTTGAGTTCATGGATAGTCATGGCTGTTGCACAGAGGAATCCTGTCTCCAAAATAAAAAAAAAAAAAAAACAGAAACAAAACAAAATAATGAATCAACCAAAATAACAATAAAAACAAAATGAGCATGAATTTAATTTTTATTTCTAATATATATATATATGTTCTTTATATATAGAATATTGATTGAGAGAAAAATTTGCTTTCATAATGCCATGTAGTTTGATGTTGTGGGTAATGTAAGGTAAGAAGTGATGCCATTGTGGGGATCTAGTGTATCCCCTGTCAGTAATCTCCATATGTAAGATAAGTTGACTATTCTTCTGATTCCTCAACTTCAACATACAGAAGGGAATTAAATAACAATTCAACAACACAATCAAAATTTAGCCTCATTAGCAAGTCATATCTATGTGGAATTAAAATGTTTCCCTGTTCTTGTTTCTTAGATTTCTTCAAATTTTATTGGCCCAGTTTACATAGAAAGTCTTTCCTATCCACACATCCATTTAAACATTTCATTTCAATTGATCATTGGATGAACAACACGTGTGTGTGTGTGTGTGTGTGTGCACAACTGTGAGTTTGTATGTGTATGTGTGTTTATATGAATGTATCCACACAGTAATTTTTCATATTAATTTCAATCCAAGGAAATAGCAAATATCACACAGAAGGGAGGAAAAAGTTGTGCAAAGCCATTGTAACGTTTGGGTTTTTGATCATACTGGCAGTGGCATCTGTGAGCAAAATTTAAATAGATGAAGAATTGACCATCTCCTTCAAATAGCATGCCCAAAACTAAAAAAGATAAGCTCACATTGTAAAAATCTCTTTTGTAAATTTACTTATAAAATATGAGTTGACAATACATAGTTAGATTATTCTCTGGTATGAATATATATATTTACTTAAATAACTATCTTGTAAAGGTAGTCTTGATTTTTTTGCTGCATATTCATGCTTATTTAATATTTTCCAGATTGTTTACAGTGGGAAAGAGTTGAACCATCCTTTTGGACTGTCACATCACGGGAATTATGTGTTCTGGACAGATTACATGAATGGTTCCATTTTTCAACTAGATTTGACGACCAGTGAGGTGACATTGCTGAGACACGAAAGAGCACCCCTGTTTGGGCTTCAGATTTATGATCCACGGAAACAACAAGGTATTAAAAAAATACAGTTTTTTTTCAGAACATTTCACATGTCATAATCCTTCACTATTGTAACAAAACGTTCTACTTTGACAATGTTGGTGGTTTTATAATAAATATTACCCGGTCACTGTAGAGTCGTGTAAATCTTAGAGCTTGTTGCCACAAAAATGTATTTCTTGTTTTCAAATACCCTGAATGAGGAACTCTAGCAATTCTGCTTAAGAGAAATTGAGGTTTTCCCAAACATTTCTTTTTTTCACATCATGTTCTAGAAAAAATACTCTTCCTCATTAAAAAGTTAAATAAAAAATGTCATCAAATAAATGGTGTGGTGAGCATAGAGAAAAACTTTCTTGCACTAAAAGGAGGACCTAAATAATTGAAATAAAGAGATGAACTGCACCTACAGGCTTTATTGACATGCCTGCTTCACATTGTCTGGTTAGGCTCCAAAGGTAGTTAAAGAACATGTAACGATAAAGTGAAACTACCAACCCCAGCAGCCACATCGCATTAAATTCAGATAGTATTTTTACATTTTATGCTCATGCGTTATTAATATTTATTATGCCACAACAATCACCATGACTCATAGCTTAGATATTAAGCACTGAAAACAACTTAGTAAATGATGTTGTAGATGTTTTATGATTTTTAAACAGTTGCTATTCTTTTATAATGTAGATAGCCTTATAAATATTTAGTGAGCATGCATTCCAATGCATTTAGAATGAATAAATCGCACCCTTAATTTTCTGATACATATCTTGTCAGTTGGGATTTTGGTAGTAATAAGGTTTTGAAAGGTGTTTGCATTAAAGTAGTTATCATAATGGACCATCTCATCCCTAACCATCACCTTTCTTCCTTTATAAAAAGTTCTCTATCTTTAGGAAAACCAAGTGCAAAGAATGCTAAATAATAATTGCTAATTATTAATTAAATTATCTTTCAAAAGAACAAAATTGACATTATCTGAACTAGAATAAGTACAAGAAAAGAATAATAGAGAAAATTGCTGGAGAGGGCAATTCCTTCATCACAGTCATACCAATTTCATGACTCTGGCCGCACATATTTCCTTTGCATGGTTGGAGGTGCTTCTTTATTTCTCCCTATTGTTTCCCTTCCTCCTCTGTGTTCTTCCCCTTCTCCTCAGGACTGGACACTGGCCTTTGTTCTTGCTAGCAGGAGTTCTACCACTAAGTCTTTTCCCTCTCTTTAGAACCTCCCACCCTAAATGTCATTTCTCAGGTCCATTTAGCTGGAAGTCGTTTTTGCCCTCCTCATAGACTTCTATCCTCTTGTTCTTTTAGAAAGTTGGTTATTAAATTCAAAATGTGATGGAAAAATTATCTCATCACTATAAAATGAACTTGGGCGTAAACCCTGGCCTTTGATCCTTTTCAAACTTTGGAATCATGAAATATTCAATATAGATCACAAAGATATCTTTCACCAAATTTCTGTGAGGATCAAATAATTATTTATTATAATAAAATAAATATCACAAGACCTAATTCATGTGAGACAACTCACAACTTTTTCCTGTATGACCTCACAGGAAAAATAATCATTTTAAAATTTCCTTTCAATAAATGCATCTTAAATATTCAAAGTAATAATTTATCAAAGTAATATGTAACAAACTATGTGACTCAAAAAGAGCATACATCTGCCTTTTGAAGAAATGGTTTTAGTTTTTATAAAAGAAGGACTTTTATAAAAGCAATTCTTTATTCAATGATTAATAAGTGCTATCATTGAATAAAGAATTGCTTTTATAAAAGTTCTTTTCCCATTGTAATTCAAAAGATCATAATTAATAAGCTCATCATGAATGCCAGTTAGAAATGATCCTGCTATTATACTTAGAAAGTATGTTCAGTCCATCTAATAGATAGTTTTCATTTACTTAGGTGGATCAGTCAATTAGTTTTAGTTTTCTACCTAATCATCTTGCATCTAATGATTGTCTACAACTATACTAATCATTGAAACAGTGCAGTATAGAAAGAATTCCTAGTTAGTACCTTTAGGACTCAAGTCAATACTCATTGATTTTAGGTAATCTACAGCAAGATGTATGTTGTTTTCGATCTTTAATTGTATTGATCAAGACAATTACAAAGTTAAAAGAATTAAGGTTTTTAAATATAGGCAACTCATTCTACAGTGGTATAAATTTTTTCCAATTGTCTTTTCTTTTCAACTTTTGTACATAAGATGTTAAATTTTTAAGATACATAGTGAATATACTTGGTATCCTTTGATTAGGATTTTAAAATTTATTTTATTTTATATGTATGAATGTTTTTCCTGAGCAGATGTTTGCACAATATCTTCTCACCTGGTGCCTGAGTAGACCAGAAGAGTGTATTAACTCTCCTGGGACTGGGGTCATAGGTGATTGTCTGCTGTCCCGTGGGTGCTAGGAATCAAATCTGGCTTTTCTGCAAAAGCAGGTTATGGTCTTACCTGCTGATCAATCTCTTCAACACCATGTTAGCCTTTATCTAAAGGGTGAAATGTAGGAACTGAGCAGACAACCCTCGCTTAAGAGTAGGCACTTCCATTTGTTCTTCCATTGAAAAAAAATGTTATGTAGTGCTCATCATCTGTTTCTGTCTCTCTTGCTGTCTCATCTTCCCTCCTTTTCTTTAGTGTTCTAAGAATATAGGCTGAAGATTGTGATGCATGTAATTGTATATGAACTGTATAATTCATCATTTATATATAATATGTAGATACAAATAAATAAAAATATAGCAGTAATTACTGAATGTGTGTGTGTGTTTGTGTGTGTGTGTATTGTGATATGTATATGTGCAGGTGTGCTTACTGATCCTTAGCAGTGGAAACTAGTGTTAGAAGTCTGGAAATATTTGTCCTTTGTTCTCTACCTTATTTTTTCAACATAGAGTCTCTCACTGAGACTTTGTGTTTATCTTGTATTGAGCTCCAGTTCCAATTCCTAGGTAGGTTACTAGAAAAGGCCCCAGGATCCTCATGTCCATGTGCATTTCCCTTAGTGCTGCAATGACAGTCCAACAGGATTCAAAATCAGGTTTTATACTTGCTTTATGCAACTAATACTTAAGCTTCTGAGTCATATCCCTGCCTTCTATTGTTTTTTTTTCCACTATGTAGCTGGGCTATTTCTGAACTTGACATCCTCCAGGCCAAGACTGTGATTAAAACATGAATCATTACACCTGCCTGGTACATGTGCTTGATTTCATACTTTTAAAGAGGTTGTTGTTATTTTATTTGTTTGATTGTTGTTATTGTTGTTGTTTATGTTGAGATAGGATCTCCTGTAATGCAGATTGGCCTTAAATTCACTCTGTAGATGAAGTTGACACTGAACTCTTAGTCTCTCTGCCTATATCTAGAAAGTGCTGGAAGTAAGATGTATACCACTAAGTTTGGATGGAACACTGTTTTAACTGCAGTTATATCAACAACACATATTTTTAATCACACTGTTTTAATATGAAGCTCTGCTTGACTCCTTATGTAGAGTTTAGGAGTCAGAGAGCTGATGTCCTATCTTTAGTATTTGAGACATATCAGTGTTTATCTAATGAGCATAAGTGTTGATTTACTAAGTCTGAGGTTTGTAACAGTGCCATAATCACATTTATCTCTCCCCAAGTTCCCCATTTGCGGATGGTTACCATGGAAATTATTCAGAATTATTTTCTAGACTTTTATACTTTGTTTTTCTTATTACCTTTGTCTCATTACACATATATACACACACACATAGAACTACAAAGTAGCCCCTAATAAAGCTTAGGTTTTATATTTATAAGCATGATTTAATGAAAATACAATTCTTGAAGAAAATGAAAAATATAGATCATTTTATCCTTTCTTCAGACCAACTGCATAATCACCTTTTCTGAAATGATCAAATATTAAATGCAGGATAAATCTGACACCAGGTTCTCAGTCAGTTGGTTCTTACATGACAGTTGGAATAAACACAATGTCCATATTATCTTCTAACTAATAAACTAGAATAACACCCCACTTCATAAAAAACCAAAATCCAAATATGAGATTTTTTTCATATGTGGTATAGGTACTTATAAATTCACATATAATATAACACTGAAAAATAAACAGCCCTGTAAGATTATAGAAGGCAAGAATTATGTTTTCAATTATTAAAAAAAAGACCCAAAGTATAATAAAGCAGACAGAATGCTTTGTAGTGGAAACATATTCTGACACCTGGTAGAAATAAACATTCATCAGCAATTAAGTTACTAAGGTCTATAACATGGAGGCATTAACACAGAGTTTTCAAATGTTTTTATTTATCTCCAATGTCTTAATTATTATTTGGTCGAGGTTGTAATATACCTTTAAGTTTTCTTCCTTAAATAAATGCATATTTATTGACCATATTTAGTTGTATCACTAAATTAAAATGAGAACAAGGAGGCCTTTCATTATAATGAAATTGTTTTATACCTTTGTGCATATGCACATCTGTATCATCTATGTATTCATATCTTCATCAACATCATTCCACGCACTAACACCTGTATATATACATATATTCACCAGATTTTTCCTCATACTGTATGCAGCATCTCTGCATACCTCGTTCCTATATCTGCATCCCATGCCTCATCCCTGTGTTTACATTTATCCCTGTACCAAGCCTGAATCTATAACTCTCTTTGAACTTATACCTGTACCTGCATCTGTCCATATTCTCGCATGTATACCCACATCTATTTCTGTGCTCACACCTTGAATGTACACTAAAAATAGTTGCTCTAACATTCACCTGTCTAACTCAAAGTTTCATTCATTCAATTATCTACCAAAGACTCTGTGAGACAGACAACTCATGGTACTTCTAATTCTGGAGGAACAATGAATGGAAAGAAAAGACACAGAAGGAAACTCCCTTGGACTTAACAGCTCAAATTGTTCTTAATGCAGTTGTATTTCATATTTGAATATTTATATATATTTGCCACCAAAGTAAGTTACTCCAGAAGTATATGTTGTAGTAGTTGCTTTTCTTTTCTTTGGTGACTGAATTTTACTTTAACTTTAGCAAGTTAGTCATATAAAAGTATTGATCAAAATACAAAATTTTAAAATTTTTATTAGAAATAATAAAGACATTATTATACAAATTATTTTTAATATTGATTAATTATTTCTAAGTTTTAGATATTAGAAATATCATTTGGACACTTAGATATTGAGTAATTCTTCCTGAAACTGATTTAAAATCAAATGAAAATGCTATTGTAATTATAACTAGATTAAATTGAATGTAAATATAAGTTAGCCAGCTATGAGATGGACAAAGTATGGACTTTATGTACTGTGACCATTTCTCACTAGTCATTACTCACCAGTCCAAGAAATTTATAGATTAATTTTGACACTGAATTTGAAAAATGGTCATTAATGTTTTGCAGATAATTGTATAAATTATCTATAAATGATGTAACTTCAAGAAACAATATCACATTAACTTTTTTGCGAATATATTCTTAAACTGAAATTGAAAAGTATAGCGTCTATAAAATATAAAAAATTCTAGACACTTCCAATAGGATAGGTGGAATTATTTATATTAATTTAACTTTGGGGTTTCTATTGAGGCATAACTAATTCTTCCCTCTTAGAATGTTGTATTCAAATAAGGAGAATATATTTTAAACTTCAAATAATGCTAATTTATTTCAGAATTGGGAGATTGTTTAGTCAATGAAATAAATGCCATTCCATTGAGTTATATATTTAGCATATATCTTAAAACCATTATGTAACCTGATGTATTATAGTCAACAGTTTATTATTTCTTACTGTTTTAGTTATATATGCCCCCAAATATTGCAAAAATATTCTAATTTTCCAAAATCTGGATGCTGGTAAAATTTGAATATGCAATTTAATGCTGCACATATTTTAAACAGAGAAAGGGTAACTGAGTGTCCTCTAAAGCATTTACTCCACAACCGTGGAGGACATATATTGGTATCTAGAAGCTGCATAAAACATTCCACATTCTCTAGTAGAAAAAAATCTGAGGTAATTTTCATTATCATTTGAATTTAGAAATTGAAAAAATTGCTTACATTATTTGCCTCAGCTTTGGAGCATGTTTTATATTTTTATGTTTATAATGAATTACATGTACTTTTCAGACAATGAAAACTATTGATAATAAAACCTAGATTATTTCTTCTGATTTGAGATGCACAAGATAATATGTAGGAATTTATAGAATTCAACACATCTATGGTTTCAGTTTGTAGTAATACACTTGCATATAAACAATCAATTTAATCTTAACTGATTTTTATTTATAGTCTAAGTAAATAAAGCTCCTCATATTAGTGTTTTCCTTCTAAAATAACACTTTTTTATTTATTGATAACAATGAAAACTGAAATGTGCTCTAAGATGACCTGATAATTGTGCTGCTAAAGTTTTATAGTTTTCTCTGTAATGATGGACGCAAAGCTAAGAAACCTCTCACCTTTCTTTCCCGTTCCCTTCCTCCCTCTCCCACCTCTGTCTGTCTGTCTGTTTCCATCTTTCTTTCCGGACTGTCACTCTTTAGCCACTGCTTTCCTTGAACTTGTACTCTTTCCCAGACTGTCCTGGAACTCACAGCAGCCCTCTTATGTCAGCCTCGTGAGAGTTACATTTAGAAGCAAAAGCCATGACGCCTACGTGGACACATTTTCTCAATTGTCTGTCTAACTTGGAAGAATAAATGATGTCAAATGTGTGACTCTCTAAAGTGACTTTGTTTTAGTTACATGTATGTAAAAATCTTACTTTCCAGCTCTTCAAATACGTCGTTGGTATTGTCTACGATTCAACGTGGGTCCTCACATGTATTTATGAATTCCTTATAAATATCCTCTCCTGTCTTTCACAAGTCTCTCTGTTTTCTAAGTCGTCAGTTCTGTGAATTGTCCCAATATCCTATGCTTCTTGGGGTCCTCAGCACAATGACATGCCAATGTACTCCTCCCACTGGAGAACAAGTCATTGTCCCATACGCTTGCTTTTTCCAGTGGTGGTTTATTTCTACATTAGCAGAGACATGCTCTTCTTTCCAAACACATGTCCGCTGCTATGGACATAATCAGGGGTACTCTTCATGGCAGACAACACACTACCTCCCTCCTTGCTTCTGCTACCTAGAAAATGATTACCTGGCACAGCCCTTCCTCAACCAGCTTACATATTCCTCTTACCTACCAAAGCAATATATATTTTCAAATGCTTCTGAAAGCAATTTCTATTCAGGAGGAATTTGGCTATATCCACAAAGGTGCACTATATATAACGTATCCATGCACATAATATGCCCATGTATGTCTCAGTGAAAGAAAGTATCTTGAAATCTAAATGTGGTACTGCGTGACTGTAATTCTAGCAGTTGGGTGGTAGACAAAAAAAATAAAATACAAGAACAGAGAGTTAAAAGGCAGCTTGTGTTGCATAGCATTTAAGATAAATAATATTTTAGAAGTTGCATAGCCTTCAGCTTTGTTGAAATTAAGGCTCTTTGATGATGTCCTTTCTTTTTCTCTGCAGGTGACAATATGTGCCGCATTAACAATGGGGGCTGTGGGACGCTCTGCCTGGCCATCCCAGCAGGCCGCGTGTGCGCCTGTGCTGATAATCAGCTTTTGGATGAAAATGGTACAACCTGCACATGTAAGCTCCTTTTTTTTTTTTCTGACACTCATTGTACATGTGGCTTTTTGTGACGATCAGAACGATCTAACATCAAAAGGACTGAAATCACAACTGGAAAGACAGATCTGTAGAACGGCTTAGGTTAATCTTAGACTGTATTCGCTGACTCAATTTCTAGCATGCATGGAATAATAACAATGGCAATGTGATGCATAGCATCCGGCCCTACTGTACAGGTCAGTAGACAATTTCAATAAGTCTGTGCCATTGGAGCAAATCCTTCATGTCATACTAAGCTCCGTAGTCAGCAGTTGCAGCTGGCAACACATTGTTGGTACGCAGGTTAGTACTGAAATGATTTTTAAATGGCTTGGCTGCTCAAATATCTGTATTTGGAGGTAAAGATCAACAAACAATGCAAAAAGAGGCTTCTAAGCAGTGGATTAACTGAATTGATTGGTTTGTACTAAAGATACCTTTCTTAGATTTGTCATACCCTTCAATATACTGTCCTTATTATCCCAGACTAAATCTTGAAGGTTTTTTCAATACCTCTAATTGTATCCCCTAAGCACAATAACAGTGACAATAATATGTATGTATTGAGAGCTAAATAAAAATTTCTGGAAGGATTTACAATTCAAATTTGACTTAAGGCTCTCCAGAGAAAGGAATACAATAGGATTTATGTACGAATTTATTTTTGTATGTATGTATGCATGTGCATATATGTGCAGAAAGATGACAGTATTATAATAAGGAATTGACTGATACGCACAGAGATTGAGAAGGCTTAGGATCTGTAGTCTGTAAACTGAAAATAAAGGTTAGGTGAAGTGTCTATCCAATGAGCCTGCAGACCCAAGTCTCAGGAGTTGATGTTTCATTTCAGATTGATGAGGGAGGGACTCTGGGCATCCAAAAGTCAGAGTTAAGAGCATTTCATTTTGTAGCTAAATTCTCCCTATACTGTACTTTGATTTTTCAGTCTTGGATCACTCTTCAGTATCTGTTACTTCAGGTTTATTTTCGTTTAACATGAACATAAGCATTGTATCACTTAATTAAATACTCACTGTGAACATGATTCTTAAGAGCTGAATTTCAAGTAATCTCATATTTGATAACTGGAGTCATTTATGATATATTGTTATAGATATTTGTGACTTTTTATTGTTTTCAATTTCCTCTTTACCTTCGCATATGGTCTACATTCAGCTTTTGTTACATCTTGAGGCATTTGGAATAAAACTACCAGTCCCAAAATGAGAAATTCAAGTCAGTATATTGAATGCCAGCATTTTAAATTCCACATTCTTACCCGAGGATGGATAGACTTTCTCAGTTTCTAGTTAAATCTTTGTCAATGTCCAAGATATATCTTTAGAATTTGACTTCTTTATATCAAACACAACTGAAATTCCCTTAGGATATTCTTTACAGTACAATCAGGAGTCTACAATCCCAGAGATTTTGGTAATCTTGTGAGTCCTTAGGAAATCATGAAGTGGTGTGTTTATCAGATACTAACATCAAAATGGCACTTAAAATCGAAACTTTCTAATGAGTTCCTTAATTTGCATTAGGGGAATCATAATTATATGAGTAATTTACCTTCTTAATGTATTTCCTGTTTTCTTCATTCCTGTGTTCTTTTTTAGACCTTAAGGATAACTTTTGAATTATGTGTATACTAGTATGAATAGGGAAAAGATTGATAAATTAAAATATACCATTATTGTAGTATATAGTAAAATGTGAAATGATTGAGAGAAGGTAAATATAGGTTCCTATGGGAAAAGAAATGAGATGAGCAAAAAGAAAGCATGAAATAGGGTAAGGGAAAGAAAAATGCTAAAAACTGCCTATGAGTTTCACTTTTACTTTAATCAATTATACCAATACATACAAATGTTTTAAAGTACATTTTTAGGGCTCACAGAAAATATAGTGGGATGGTTTAATAATCAGTCATTCATCTTCTCCTAGGCCTAGTACCATGGGAGTAAGTCTGTACACAAGAAGAAACACATGTACTTATTATCAGTTGTATCAGGTACCCATGAAACAAGCTTAGACCTGATTCCTTTATCACCCAGGAAATGACAAATGTCCCTCTTATTCAGCCTACAAACATGTCAGTTTACCTTTATTTACTTACATACTTTTCTAGCTGCTCTTCTTCATAGTTATATGTTACACACTTAATTGCGTGCCTTTTCTTTTATAACACTAAGAAGAACTGTATTTAAACATAATAGTAAGCTAAGATAGTGGCATTTTGTTGGGTGATATGCTGTATTAAACATTATTCTGCCACTGTCTGGCAAATTGTAAACTGTTTTGAATAGTACTTATTTCTCCAATAGTGGCTGGAAGCCTGTCTTTGCTGTGACTCTGGATCTTGATCCAACACTATGACTTATGTAGTTTTCACTTTCCACATTGCCAAACCCACCAATCACATAGCATGTGCAGTAGAGGCTCAAAGTCAGAGATACAAGTATCTTAAAAGGAGCTACAACTGAGCACATAGTCCAGCAGTTCTTAGAATTTTCCAGATTACAAGTCTAACTATGAGAATCAAGGCAATAGAAAGATACATGTGTTTATTTCTATTACCCCCAAAATATTGTTGCCTAGCTCTATAAAAATAAAAGCTTATTTTGGCTTGTAAAGGAAATAAATTATACACAGTTTTGACTTCAAACCTGATATTAGAATAACTATTTTCAGGTATTGCCAGTTCAATGATCATGTGATCATACACTGGAGAATTAGAAGGTTTTCGAGAGTGTTGGTCTCTTTCTAGTAGCTGTAATTCATAGACAAGGTAATATAAAAGCAATGAAGGGAAAAGAGAGGTTTTTGCCTGTTTTTTTCACAACGAAAAATGTCAAGTCAGAAAATATATCCTTTTCAGAATTATTTGTTGCACCTGCCTGTTAGTCCTTACAGACGCCACATGAAAACTGCCTGTGTTTCTTTATAGCACAGCATAGTAACTCATTTTTTAAGAGAAAACAATGTGTCCTTGTGCATATTATCAGCTTATCTAATAATATAAATTCCTACTTAGCTAATAATATAAATTAGCAGGAATCATTGTATAATCCTACTTATAAGGAATGATAATTCTTAAATTATCACTCCTAAATCATATATATTAGGAGTAATAATTGAATTATTAATTCTAAATCATGCCTATTAGGAATACAAATTGGTAGCAAAGCGTATGTTACTCAGAAAGTACTGATAAAGATGCTACATGACATCATAGCTTTTTGAGAGTGCAGTGCAAAATAGAAGCCAGCATACTTCCATTAACCAGTCCTTGGTGCTGATTCCCTTCAGCTTCTGTTAGTCCAGGTTAGCTTACAGATGTGATAAGCCAACTGAATTAAGTAAGCAATCGGAGTCTGACAAAAAAAAAAAAATGGCAGAAGATATTGTAAACGATGCAGCGTGGTCAACCTGGTTCAGTCGTTCTCATTGAATTGACACCAAATGGATCAAAAGCAGCTGGGAGAGACTAAAAACCAGGGATATTTTTTCCTTAATGAACTTGCAAATTAAAACAGTGGCAGACAAAAAGCATGCTCCCCACAGAAAACACTGGCATGTTAAGCAATTAGAAATGAATTCTAATGTTGTGTTTGGAAGAAGGGAAGAGATTCTCATCTTTTATTCTCGGGACTCTTGTCCATCATGGTCAAATCCTCTTAGGAGTTGAATTGATCTCTGCTGTAGCATAACAAATTGGAATTTGCTACTTGCTACACAGAAAAATCTAATTGGCCAGTTATGGGGTACGTTTATATTTCTCATGACAATTAAAGAGAAGCATGAAATATAATGTTGAAAATTAGATTATAAGCGATTCCTTAAAACAAATTATGCTTTACCTTGACAAGTTTTGTTGTATAAGTCACCAGAGTGTTTTAGTTGGAATAAAGAAAGGAATTCGTTAACTGTTTCGCAGGTGCTTAAAAGAAAAGGCCTCAGAAGAACAACATAGGGTTCACAAAACAACAGTAACCCAGAGGCTGGCAATGCACCATCATATGTCCATAATCCTCTGGTGATCCATGCCACCTTTTGGAATACCAGATCTCTCGGTGGTGACAAATAGTGCTCCTCTGTGGGGAGCCATTTATCTGTTCTGCCTTGACAAGCCTCATGCCCTAGGATATATGCAATCAAATGTGTAGTAAAAAGTTTAAGGCAATAAAAAAGTTTAGAAGTCCCATTCAAATGATTATTTATTTCCCCCTGTGCATATAACCTCACAGAAGGTCATATAGCACTGAGACTGTCTGCTCAGAAGACCCTTCTATCTAATAAAAGCTCATCCATCCGTCTGTGATCTAAAAAAAAAAAATAGCCAAATTTTCCACTTTCTCCTCTCATGTAACTGTGTGGTAGGACAGTATCCAGTTAGCTACGGCTTCACATTTTCCTTTGATCCACACCCCTGGGGGCAGAATGTGTGGTACAATTTTTCCTTAAGCTGATATCACAATATGGAATGAATGTTAGAGAAAGTTCAGCAATACTGTGCTTGCTGCTTTTCCAGAGTTTATTACTACTCTCTCCTCTCTCTCTCTCTCTCTCTCTCTCTCTCTCTCTCTCTCTCTCACACACACACACACACACACACACACACACACGTGCACACACACATACACACATACATTCACATTACAATAAATTAAAAATATATGGAAAGATGGAAAGCTAAATTAAGATAATATAGTCAGAGAGCTTTTTCCTTTATTTCACGGGGTTCTGGATATTATTTCTGGCAATAATTCTTCCAGGTTTAAGAAAACAACACTAGAATGAGTCCTTGATGTTTCTCCATCCTGGGAAGTCACATACAGGCCTTCTGATATCTTTGTCTCTAACAACAGTTTTCACCAGAAGCGTGAACAGTGACATTTTACACCAGACAAGCCGTAATTCATGCTGTGTCATTTCTGAACGTGGTTAAACAAAATGATTATTTACTGCTTTGTCAGTTTCTTACTGCTCAGGCCATGGTGTCCCAGTGACAGAATTATACGTTTTGTGTATGGTTTCAAATTGGTGGTTTCAAGCCTAGCTCTGCAGGAAACTATAGAATTTTAGCACTTGCTAAGGTTCTGGAAGAGATTCATCGCTGTGCTCAGACAACCAAGTGCTCTCCATATCCATGTTCCGCTCTGGATCAAAGTGATATACATGGAGCTTTAAGCAAATGCTCCTTGTTCTCTTTATGTACACATCTATTTTGTTTGCTGAAATTTGACTACGCCTACCCATGCTCATGAGCAGTCAGAGAATAAACTGCTGATCCAGTTGGAGCTAGCTGCCTTTCTGAAGACTTTCTCTAACCTTGGAGACAGTCTCTCAGTAGAGTAACAGCAATCTCATTAAATTTCAAAAGTCAGGTAACAAGTTATTTTTTGAATTCACTCTAAGTCCAAGTTCTCTTAAGCATTGTTCTTTTGTACATATGACACTGTCCTTATATTTCTCAATTATAATTGGAAATCAGCTTTAAAGTCTTTCAAAGGGATTGTACCCAGCTGGAGAAAAAATACTAAGTGAGTCTTTTGCATGAGATATTTGCTGATCCTTTAAGTTATGTTCAGTATGTTTGCATCTTCTCATTGTTCTCTCAAAAGGGGCTAGGTCTAGCCGTATTCAACTTGGATACTGTTATAAATGATATTGTTCTCTAGTTCTGCGTTGCTTCATTAGCAATGTGTGTGCAAGCAGATCTCACACCCTAAACTTCTCTCTTGTCCATGTTATCATAAGGATCTTTGTTTTCTTGATAATAAGCATTGGTTGTAGAAATATAACCTGCCTTCTATCAACATGGATCCTGTCTAAACATGTCAGTTCACACTGAACATGGTGATACCTTTGTGGTATTGTTGTAGGTCACATCTGAAAATTTTAGGTTCATCATGGAATGGACTAATGAAACCATAGGCAATGAAGACATTGCAAATCAAAAGCTCAGTATCTGAGAGATTAGGCTCATTGTAAAGTTCTTGCTACCAACTGTGAGGATCAGCGTTCAGATCTCACATAAAAGTCAGACAAGTATGTGGCCCAGTGTGATCCCAATGCTTAGGAGGCAGAAAGGTGATAGTCTTATACTAACTTGGTATGCCAAAAATAAAATAAAATAAAAAATTAGAAATTTAATATCTATAAACCCCCTTTATCTGTATGCAAAAAGTGGTAGAGTATCTGGGATTTCATTTTGGTTACCATATAACATTATTTATTGGAAGAAATTTCTGGATTCTAATAGATAATAAATAGTACACACATACATGTTATATGTATATCATTATCAATCTAATTCTTTCTATATATAGTAATATACATATATAATGTTAGTGATACTTTAAAAGACCAGTATCTGATGTAGGAAATATAACGTAGTAAGATTCTATCAGGTGGTTAGGTTGATTCATTGTGTTTGTGGTTTTGTTTTTGTTATTTCCTATTTGGATTTCATACCCCATCTGCTAACCTCACACAGTAGCTTACTTCGAAAAGATCTTAGAGAAAGGGCTTCATAGAAAAACTGCTTCTTTCTTGTGTTGTTACTGAGAAAGACTATGCAATGAATTCTCTTGTCTGTCAATACACCCACAGTTAGCATATCTCGGAAGGACAGAGCAACACAGGGTGACTTTTGTTCAAGTGGAATATTCATTCACTGCAGTGATGCTCTTTGGCTGGAAATGAAGTCTGGGCCCATCGTGGTAGCATTTGTTTCTATTCCGACAGACCGCCAAGGCTTGTGCCTCACTGTGAGAGTCCAAAGCAGTTTCCTGCAGGCATGGTTCAAAAGTCATGTTCCCCTTTCAGTTCTTCGCTGCAAGGGAGAAACAAAGACCAAGGCAGTGCTGTGTTCAGGACTGTGGAAGTCCTTACCTATGTTCTATTGATACCATTCATGAGTGAGGTGTGCAGGAGTTTTCCTTCGGCAGCCCACAGGACTTAGGAGAAAGAAAGTTTAAAGCCATTGGAACAGAAATTAAAGATTCTCCCAGCTAGAAGCCAGCTTGAATTCGTTAAGGCCATTTTCAGTCCTTACTTCAGCCCTTCCCATGTATCCCTTCCTGTTAGGTTTCTATCTCACCTACACAAAGAAAACAATTTATGAAAATCACAATGGAAATTCAAATGTTCAGAGCCCAGATATATGACACTTCTGGTTACTCTGATGCAGTTCAGCAAAAGAAGTAGAGCCACCAACCTTGTCTATTTATGTGTCTTTACTGTGGTTAATGCTTAGTTGATTCATTTACACTAAAGTGATGGATGAACAATGAAGGAGCTACAAGTACAACAGGAAGTAAAACTGTGTTGCTTTTCTTTAGTGATAAGTTAGTTAAAAGAAACCTTTTTCATGTTTTAACAGAATAATTATTGTCAACAAAACTAAATGTTCCATTCCCCAGAGAGTCTTCAGTACAATACTGTTTATATTTCATATGTAGAGACCTTAAAATTTTATCATTAGAATAGATTTCCTACTTAAATTATTTTGTGTTATTAGAGTGTAATAATCTTCATATAATGTCAGGAGCATAGCTTTATAAATTTCCTATGGGTGTGGTTTGCCTTCAGAAGTACTTTCAAAGTTTTAGCTTTCATTTTTATTGTACATACTTAGCGTAAGCCACATGGTACTGTGAAATACTCGTGAACTGATTTCTGTCAGCAAAGAAATTAACAAAACAGTCGTTTCTCTTTGTTACCCTTTTATGGCTACCTATGATAAGACCATACCTGCAATTGATTGCCAATTCCCAGCATGAGATAGCACATCATTATTATATTCTGAATGCTGTATCTTACACATGAAGACTAACTCATCTTCCATTTCTTCAATTGTGCTCCTTTGACCCACACTTCTCTCTCCACCAGACCCACACCTTGAGCTTAGAAAGTGTGTTTTTGTTCGCATATGTGCATAATGACAATTATTCACCTTTTAATAAGATTGAAACCTTACCACTTAGATGAATAAGGAGCATTCCATGAATGAAGTAAGCCAGAGGAAGAAAAACAAACACTACATAACCCTATTTCTGTGGGGTTCTAAAGCATCTAATCCCCCAGCAATTGATAGCTCAATGAATTGATGCAGTTAGTACAATATGTACATCATGCAATTTTTAAATTTTTGATTCTAGTTCATCCTGAAGAAATAGTGCTTCATGTATGTAAACCTGGAGAATTTCGCTGCAAAAACAAACACTGTATCCAAGCTCGGTGGAAATGTGACGGAGACGATGACTGCCTAGACGGAAGTGATGAGGACTCTGTCACATGCTGTATGTACTCCCTGAAATAATCTGAAACTCTATTTTCCTGAGTGAGTGGGTGGATTACCAAAAACAGCCTACGGCATATCTGAAAATATCTTTGATGTAAATTTGACATAACTTTCTTTCCTGGTGGCCTGTGTCATGAAGTTAAGCTACAGATTACCTTCTTGTGTAGATGTCAAGATCTGTTCTCCTCTTCTGTCCCCATCCTTTATTATGTCTCTGAGAATGCTGGACAACCACAGTCTGATGTTGCTCTAAAGGACACATTGGGATTTTGCTTATAAAGACATGGGATGTCAAATGAACTCTCTTTGAGACTGAATTGTGGGCACGCTCCACTTCACTGATCTTGAAAACAGAGCCTTGAAGGAAATTCAGGGAGATTGGCATGGATTTGGAATGCATTCTTATAAACAGAATCTGTAGTTTCTTTCCCAGCCACCCAGACCCGAATAATCACACAGAATTTCTGTGTGAATTCGGCTTCCATCTTACATTAACTCAACGAGTATTCCTCTGTAATTCCCAATAATTTCTCCCTTAAGTAAGTTCACTATTCACATTGCTCCAAGAGTAGTTCTTATGGGAGCAAGTCCTTCTTATCAAAACTGTTGCAGGATCTGTTAGTCAACAGGGCAAGGGCTTCAAGCTATATACTCAAGAGTATAACTTGTAGTCCATCATTTATCTATTTACCTTTGTTCTTATGGAGTCAAATTATATGTTGCCCTACAGAGAAAAAAAAAATGTTTCTTGCTTTCCTGGTCTGTGACACTGAACTGACAGCAGTTTATGAAATTTAATATAGTTTCCCACTGGCTTCTTATGGAATTATTTGTAACCACCAATAAACTGCAGTACAGCCTTTTAGAGATAAGCATCCATCTTCTGTACGTCCTATATTACTGTAGCTTTCAATCTATACTGCCACCATATGCTTCTTCATCTGGTGCACCTAATAAAAGATTAATATCCTCTTTGGGAGATATGGTTGGCTGTAGCATGTCTGAAGTCTCTACTCCAAAAATAGATCTTGGCCCTGGAAGAATGTATAACTGTATAAACCTCTAAGTGTAGAGCAAGTGTCTTTAGCTCTCTGCTTGAAGAGCATCCTTTTTGAGCACTGCAGTCATGCTGAATAACGTTTCTTTTCAGCTGTTTTGTGGTCAATAAATCAATACAATCATAACCCAATGTAGAGGATTATTCTAGACATAAATCCCCAAATCTCTTACATAGAATTTCTTTGATCCTTTTGCTGTCTATATTTCAGTAGTTCACTACTAACTAAAACAATGGTGGTTGATTCTGCATTTCCTTTGCGAATGGAAATAGATTAGAGTCTTGAATTCACTGAGTGGATTAGGTGAGGCTAAAGCTTTCAATCCTCCTGCTTCTTTTTCGCTGGTGTCCAGGGTTATAGAATTGACCACAAAGGTCCTTGAGAAGCTACAGCGTGCAGTGTGCAATCTTGCTCCTTTAATATGTTGACCTCTGATATGTGTTTGACTTATTTTTTTTCATGGACTACTACACTCGTTAAAGTTTCTAAACACCTAGAACATTTTGAGCATGCACAAGGGCTGAAAATATCTTCACAAATTCATTTAATTTCCTCTAATAATAAACCTTCACTCTGTTACCTCTTCCCAGATCCTCCCTATCTCTTTGGTCACTCAACTATGTGTGTAGGTTTTCATTTTTTTTTAAATAAATTTTACTTTCCTCAAGTGAAAACCTTCCATAAAGTATGACAATCACGCTATCATTACAAATACTTAAAGAACATGTGTTTGTTTTGTGGGTACATATTATAAGTAAATCCATTTGATATGAAGCAAAATGAGAAAATGGTAACTTTCTCTTTATAAATAAAACTATTGCAAAATATATTTTCATCTTAGAAAATGTACAACTATTGCATTAGGTAAAAGAATAAAATAACATTGAAAATGTGAAACAAATATGGAAGATCACATGTTAAGAATCTGAAAAATACATTTAGAAAGTTAATATGAAATGCCTCCCCACTGTGATTAGATATTGGAGGGTTAAGGCTCAGCTGTGTATCACGTTATTTATCGCAGTTGCTCTTATTTTCAATATTGCTCTTTGTTTATTCATTCATATTTAGAAAGAACAGGATTACACTTTGCTATTAAGATTACATAGAATCTTATTTTTAGTATCAACTTTATACCACAAATGATCCATTTTTATTTCTGTCATTTCTTTTCAGATCTGAAAATAGAGTGGTTAAATTAAAACATGCAAGATTATTTAATATTTTAAGTATCTGAATGAATGTGATATATATGTATGTATATATGAAAACAGTATCTTAATATGCATGAGTAATTATATTGAGATGTAATTTTCCTGTTTAACATTTAACCTTGAGGTTGATTTCGAATGTATAAGCATTCTGGAGTTGAATGACAAGTTCTGGTAAGCAATGAAGAAGCAAACTAAGGAATAAAGTTGGTTTGAGTAGAAGCCTGTGAATGGATTTATTTCCTTTTGTTTCATATTCATTTTATTTATCTCATCTATCAAGATTAATTTTTAGCAAAGTCTAAAATATCAATATTTCCTACAAAATTTGAGACAATTAATGACAGATTGAGAGGCATTTATTAAAGAATAAGATTACAATTACTGAAATTGTTTGGCAACCATAATTGAAATATTTATAACTTGAACTGAACTTTTTTTCCTCACATTGCAGTCAATCATAGCTGTCCTGACGATCAGTTTAAATGCCAGAATAATCGTTGTATCCCCAAGAGATGGCTTTGTGATGGAGCAAATGATTGTGGGAGCAATGAAGATGAGTCCAACCAAACCTGCGCAGGTAAAGGTCTGCACAAATATGTGATAAATCAGTTCCACATCACTTCTGTAACACATAGGTCAAGTGGATAAAGGAACTGAACTTTGTTGGCATTGACAGTCTGATCATTGCCATGGTCAAGAAATTTAGTGCTTTGTGCCACAAAGGCCAGATTGCAAATGGTGTTTTCCTAATCCTTGACCACAATACTGCTTTATCTTAATTTTAATTTTAATTTATTAATCCAAATTAATCTGGCACTTCATCTCCTCATGCTGGTTGTCCTGTTGCTCAGCATCTCCTTCAAGACTTGTCCATGCTAAACCTTCCTAGGCTTCAAATCCTCTTCATTAGAATGCTGTGATCCGGGCCACCTCACAAGGAGAATTATTTATTTTATCCAGAGAAAACACTTAATTTTTATTTTTTTCTACTACAGAACACCTTTGTGAATAGTTTTTTGTTCATGGAACATTATTTATAGGAGGCAGGATTTTTTTCCGGAATGAAGTCCCATTACGACTAAGAATATTTATATTGCCATATAATCCGTGCCTTTGTAATAAATCATCGATTCCCTAGCCAGCCTCTTATTGAATAGAAATATACAGCTGGTGGTACAGCTTGCAAAAGCGTGCCAGAAAGGTCATGATTACTAGGTAAATGTTGAAAAATGACACTGGCTAACAGCAAGCCAGTGCACTGTAAATGATGAAGCAAAGCTAGTGTGTGGTGATACATATTGCTATAATTGGTGAAAACTGATTCTTGAAGGATGCTGAAATGTTACAGCACACCAGTTACACAACACCTGTTTCTCCTTTAGCCATTATAAACCTTACTAAATAAATACAAACTATTGTAGCAATGTAGGCTCATTGACCTAAAAATTTGTTCCTAATCATGTTTTTCACATTGACTTTCTTGTGTAAAGGCTTGTTCCTCTGTGCACTATCTTTTGAGTGCATTTCTTTGAGCTCTATTAAACACTGAATTTGTTACAATTGTATCCAAAGAACTTCTTGCCATGCATAAAACAGTGACTATAAAAGCAAAAGGAAACTATTCCTCTCATGACTTAAGACATCATATGGACAGACTTTTCCATTGGTGAAACACTTGCTCACCCTCTGTGAATGAATAATTCTCTTCAGCCTTGGTTAAAACCTCTAATCTTTGGAGGAAGTGGATTATTAAATTGTGTGTGTGTGTGTGTGTGTATGTGTGTGTGTGTGTGTGTGTGTGTGTGTGTGTGTGTTTGGTGTGTTTCCAAGATTTTCTCAAACAAAAAGAAATCTCAACACCATGATGTCCACTTTTAAGAGCTTTAATTTTTCAGATGAAATGCAGCAAGCAGAACTTTTCCTGCATCTTTGTAAGCTCTGCCTGAAAGGCCCTTACTTTTTTGGACCAAACTACACTACACACCAGATTATCTTGAATTTTATGTGCAGTCAACTTGACTTTGAGAAGTTCACACTGAATATGACTCTAATTTACAATGAAGCATTTCTGCACACCAATGCACATACTAATCTTTTAAGATTAAGGTTTAATTCAGAGATTTTGCTTCATTACATGCTGAACATAAACAGAGATGGTTTTGCCTTAAAATAGGAAGTCACTCATTTTCATAGTAGAGTACCTGCCTTGTTTATACTAATTACAAGTTTTGCTTGTTTCCACGTGATTTATAAAAGAACATTTGCATGTGATGAGCTATCAGTAGTAGTAAAAATGGAAATACTTCTAAGTAAGAGTCAACAAAGCTATCAGTCCTGATTAGTGTGATTTCTGTGGTTCTGGATACCTATAGTTCAAGAAGAAATAAAATGCAGAATATTGAAGGCCACTTTGAGTTGTGTTCCTCACTCCCAGGTCAGCACACACAAGTCAGTTTACCCATGGCAGCTGGCGTCACTGCAGGGTATGCTCTGAAATGCAAATGAAAAGAGCAAAGAGAAAAATGAGCATGTCTCCTACCATTATAAAGTTTGAGAAGCGGGGTTAAGCTATGATGTACTTCCATTTCATTTCCCCCAAAGAAATAAACAGCTCACAAGGCTTAGCATACCTGGACAAAGTGACCAATTCCTCTAAGCCCTTTCGAGAACATGAAATCTAAGTGTATATGTGAAGATGTACCTGAGGTGAAAAGATTCCAAACAGGGATATTTTAGCATGAAGTCTTCTTCTTCACCGATTTACATAGGCGCTGCTTATACACCTATGTGAATCTTCTCCCACCGGGAACCTGCTTCTATTTTGTTCCTTTAGGATTTTCCCACAACAACCAGTAAATGTGTGTCACGACATAGATGACTGAATGATCACAAGTGCATAGTTCTTATATTTGTAGACAAAGAACAAGACACATAAGATCATATGCCAGCCATCCACTGCCATGCACACTGTTAGTATGCATCATGTTAAGTTGAGCCCTACTGAGCTTATGCTGTCTAGCTTTACGTTGACTGGACATATGTCATATTGGAAGCAAGAACCTCAATTAAAAAAAATGCCTACACTAGATTTGTCAGTGGGCAAGCCTGTTTTACAGGCTCTTGGGAAATGACTGATGTGACAGGGCCCATTTCACTGTGAGTGATATCAACCCTGGGCATATGGTCCTGGGTGTTAAAGAAATGAAGCTAAATAAGACATGGAAGGCAATGTAAGCACAGTTCTTCATTGAGCATGGCCTCTGCTTCAGTTACTTCCTCTAGGTTTCTGCCTTGAGTTCCTTCCTTATTTTTCTAACATGATACTCATGTTAGAGTATCAAGGACACACAAAAACAGCCAGTAAAAAAAAGAATTTTCTAAATTCAGTAAGTTCCCAAACTTATTCATGTTTATCTCTGAAATATCTATTTTCCCACTGTAGTAGAAAGCTGTGCATAGGAAAACCTGGGGAAAAAGGTTATTCACCTGAGAGCTAGGAATAAAAACGCCCCCAAACCAACTCAACTTTAAATGAGTAAGATACTCGATAGATTTGTATATTTGCCACACATAGTTATAAAGACTGAGCTCATACTCAAGTGTCGAAAAGAATCAACTTTCAAAATACCTCATACATAAAGAAAAATATACACATCATTTACAAGAAAGCTAAACTGAAACATAGTTCTATGTATCGCTCATAAACTCACGTGTAGTCTTTAAAATATTCCTGGACATAAAAAGAAACTAAGGAGTCAGGCCTGTCAGGGGGAAGTCAGTGTGTGGGAGAGACTTCATGGTCCATAAAATGAGGCTATCATACAGGTTTTTAATAATACAAAGCAAAATACTATAGCAAATACACAGAAATAAATTGGATGCAGCTGTACAACAGAGACAAGTATGTATTTGGTTGACCTCTTTGTGATAGGAACATTTCACTAGGAGCAAATTGCCAACTGGCAGCTTATAGGGTTGGAGTAGCGGTTGTCTAAACCCTATAAGCTGGGTAGAGAAGGCACCCAAAAGAGCAGCAGTGCATGCACAGGTCACAAAGGAGCAGACCCAGCCACACAGAGAAGCTTTAGTCTCTCAAAAATACAGATTCTTTTCTGTCTAATTCTCAGAGAATTTCAGAGGTCAAGAGAAATGAATGGTGGTTACATTTGAAATTTACTTTCCTGTAAGTAAGGCTAATAATTCTTACACTTTCACCTAAGCAGTCCTAAGTCAACATTTTCTCCCATCATTGAACACTAATTGCATTGGACAATATTCTTCTTCTCACATCATCCAACAAATTTGATCAAACACACACTAAGCAGGCATAATTACATTTAAATAACCAATATATGAGAAGCAGACACTTTTCAAGATAAACTATAAAAGCTTCTGTCTCCTTGTCTTTCATAGTGCTAAAAATAAGATCCAAGGGCCAGCACATGGTGTCCAACTGCTATACCATTGAGGTACATGCCCAGACCTTGGTTTTATAAGTTGAAGTTTTTCAATGTAGCCCAGGCTAACTAACGTTGAATTCATCATCTTCCAGTTTCCTCTTCTTAAGTACTACAATTTACAGGGATGAGCTGGTACATACTGTCTAAAAAGAATTCTAAACAGAAGTGACAAAGGTGATGTTTCTGACTGTTTTGTTTGAACAGTCACCTCCTCATCCAGAGCTCATGCTTTTCGGTTTCATTGAGATATACAATAACAGTGATTAGCAGGAACCCTTATACTGTGAGGGAAGTCTCTGATACAAGTGCTAGATTATCAGGAATCCTTTTACTGTGGGGGAAATCTCTGATTCAAGTGCTAGATAAACAATTCTGCAGAAGACACTGGTAAGTTCCTCTTTAGGGCACTATTTGCCATGAATTTAAAGTTCTTTGGGGTCACTGTGTGACACCACCTGCAAGTTGATAACAGATGGTGCAAAGGAAGACTGAGAAGGAAAACACTGTCTTGTCTCTGTTTGAGCCCATTGATGTGAAGTGCTAACTCTGTCAATCTGATTATGTCTCGAAGACTGAACTCAAAGACTTAAGGAATAAAATATCTTTCTTATCTGAAATCGGTTAAATTTCCCTGGATGGAAAAGGAAATACTTTCCCCCAGATCACAAGGGAAAGTGAATTCAAGCCTTTCCTAGTCTTAATCTTTCAAATAATTATGTAGAAAATTCCCAAGTCAATGACTACAGCAGGTCCTTCAGCTTCCCAGCGATAGGGAGGGCCTCACACACGTCCTTCCATCACGATGGCCATTCACCCACTATATGAATTAATCTGACATTTTTTTTTAAATTTTTGTTCTAATAAGAGCAACCAAAGCTTTGCTAGACCCTAGAGAGAGACTGATAGGAGAGACTGTAGTAACAAGAACGTGAAGTTAAAGAACAGTGGTATGCACAAATTTAATAGGTTATGATTATGCCTAAGTTGGAATTAAATGGAGATAAATCACCTAATGATTTTTTCATTTAAAATCCTGAGAGAGTGAAATACAATTTAAAGAGAAGGAAGCGAGAAGAGAGAAGCAAAAGGAAAGAATAGGCAGAGAACAAAAAGGAAGAAAACTAAGTAGATTGAGAAAAAGGGAAGAGGGAAAGATTGGGAGAATGAAAGAAAAGGTCAATGAAAATCAAGAGCCCTTGCTAAGTTTCTCTTAAAACAGAAGGGGAAAACACTTGTCAGAAACAACTGAAGCAGAATGTAAGGGGAAATTATCCGTCTCCTTCACATCTTAGCCTTCTTCATCAATTAAACCAAAGTCCACACCTTGGGCATATCCTGCATTGTTTTCTGTTCCTTAATAAAAAAAAGACACAGTTATATAAAATCAACTATGATCTTCATTGTTAGTAATATAAGGCAATAACAATGGCAATTAGAAATATTTAATGTTTTTTAAAATGGAAACACTGAAAACTTCAGAACTTCATACATTAGTTAGAAAAATAAAATATGTTAATTTGGCACAAATAATCAGTTTTAAAATGGAAACAAGTATTATCTAAATATTTTGATACTTAAATCCTATGTGCATAGCAAAATGTACATTGCAATAACATCCCTAATTACTCCAGTCCATGGTGTCGAACTAATCAGTAAATTTTAAATTTTATTTTTGAGTAATCTGAAAAATATTCACTAATTCTGATCACAGAGCCATGGGCATATGTGTTTGTATGCCTTTATAATGAGATTATTTTAAATTACTTTAATGTAGTTTAGCATTCAAGGTACTTTTAAAGAATCAAATAAAAACACTTTCTTCCCCCTAATACATATGGAAGTAGAAATCTGTCAATAAATGGTTCTCTGTTTCTTGTGTGGAAATTCAGATTCTATGCAGCCTCTTACTGTCTGGAAGTATCATCAATATAGACCTCCCCCCACCCACTGTTCTCAGATAGAAAGGCATGATGAATGAGATAATCCCACTCAAGACAAATTTCTGGGTTTTTTTATTATTAATTTATAAAAATTTCCACTTCCTCCCCTCTCCTTCCAATACCCTCCCACTCCCCCGACTCCCTCTCCTCCTCCTTCCCACAGGGCAGGAAACCCTGACTGCTCTCAGGACCGGAGAGGGAGGAACAAATTTCTGTTTTGAAGGAAAAAGAAAAAAAAGTGAAAATGAAACATTAAAAGTAATTTGTGTGCAGTACCAAAAGCCATTGGGTCTGGGGAGGAGCAGAGAAACGAATCACTTCTTTGCTCTTGAACTCTGACCTGACCAATAAGAAAGGATAAAGCACTCCTAGGAGGACCCCATTACTAAGATTGTGTCTTTTGACCACAGCGAGCAGTTTTGCATATTCCTGCCCATTACAGCTCTAGGTACAGTCATTAAAGAAACTATTTATCAATTTATACAGCTGCACGAGGGGTCCATATAAAGTCTTAGGCTAGCTACATGTCTTAGACAATATTTCTGTATTCTCACTTCACATGGGAGTTCAGTTAAAAATGAAGAGGTAGATGCAAGGGAAATGTTAGATGAAAAGGACAATTATGAACCCGGATTAGAACCTACAGACCCTGTATTCCTACAAGCTTCTCTTGGCATTACAGAAAAAAAGTTTTCTTGTTTGCCAAAAAATGCTAGATTTTTTTTTACATTTATTTTTTTTAAATAATCTTTTCTCATTTTATATATCAATCCCAGTTCCAGCACCCTCCCCTCCTCCCAATCCGCCAACCTTCCCACCACCCCACCTCCATCCACTCCTCAGAAAGAGTAAGGCTTCTCATGGGGAGTTAGCATAATTCCTTTCTATAATGGAGTTGGATGAAAGTGAATTCAATAACATTTTAAAAGGACGTGATTGGAAAATTCTTAGAATAATGAGCTATCTTCATTTGTGGAAATTTTCAAGAAAGTTCATTATTTTAGCAGCCAATTTCACTGAAAGGCAAAGTGTACCTAGCTTCAGAGCAGAGAGAAAGCTAGTTTTACAAAGCTTCATCTAAAAAAAAACCAAAAAAACAAAAAAAAACAAACAAACAAACAAAAAACTAAAAAAATGCTATATTCTGATAAAAAGCAAGCAAGCAAGCAAGCAAACTGGGCTGTGGTGGTACATACCTTTAATTCCAGCACTCAGGAGGCAGAAGCAGGTGGATTTCTGTGAGTTAGAGGCTTCCAGGTCTACAAGAGCTAGTTCCAGTAG